AAAAAAGACTGCATACATACAATAAATTGTTAGATACATTCTAGCCAAAATAGCACTATATATTCAAAATTTATTGAATTCTTTAAGTTATATAGCATGTATCGGTGCTAATATATGGGGGTGAGTCAATAGAAATCAAGCAAATTTTTATAATAAAATTTTTTTATAATTTTAAACAAGAATAACTTAACAAAAACTTGACCAAATTTAATAAAAATTTTTTTAAATAATTTTTACAAACTTGTAGAATTAATTTAAAAAAATTTTTATTGAATTTGATCAAGCTTTTGTTCAGTTATTCTTGTTTAAAATTTTAAAAAAACTTATTAAAAAATATTTGCTTGGTTTCTATTGACTCAACCTCATATATTAATACAAGCATACATTAGTGTAGTTTCTTGTATTTAGATGAGGTTCAGGTAAGGTTTCGAGTTTTGAATAAGGTTTTGAAACTTTTAGGTTTGGCACAAAAGGGTTTTGGCACAACTTTTGAAAAAATAAACAAATAAATTAATAATGTTTTGGCAGTTTTAGAGTTTTGGTTGAGGTTTCAGGTTTCAGTCAAGGTTTTGGGTTTTGGTTAAGGTTTTGAGTTTTAGATAAGGTTTCAAAAGCTATAATCTAAAACCCAAAACTTTTAAAAATTCTAAAAAAGTTTTTGGTGCTATCTTTAATTTAGACCAATAACACCATTTTTTATTTGTAAAATAGAATAGAGACTATAGTTAAACAAAGAAGTATATGTATCTATACTCTTAAACCAAGATTCACCAATAACTGTTCTACTAGTGCAAAATCATGGTTTAGTTAATCTTAATACAGATGTAACAGTAGGTAGATACTAATTCAAAAATTTTTTTTTATAGCATATTCTGGAAGTTTTGCAAGATCTAGTCTTAGAAACAAATTAACTTGTATATTTGCTGTGGCTTTAAATTCGCAACCAATTGGGTGTGGCTTTCTTGAAATTTTTATTAGAAAGGACCTTTATCAACCTTACCTATCTATTGGCACATTGATTTGTCTATACAAAGATAAGAGCAAGATGAAATAGCTATTGTAAAGTTTTGTTAAATGAATTGTGAAACTGACATGCAAAGTAAAAAGAATCACTATTTTTAGTTATATTAGTTAGTTTCAAATATTTTATAATTTTTTAAAACTGTAAATAGGTTATATATTGACTAAATAACAATGAAACTCTTGCTGTTTCTTGTTTGACAGCCCAATAGTCATGAATATTAGCATATTTTATATATATTATAATGTTAAAAGGCCAATAAACCTCATAAACTCTATTCAAATTAAATCTAGAGATCTGACTCAGTCAAAAAATCTGTATTTGAATATTCATTTGTTCAATTTTATTAATATTTGAATATTCATTGAAAAATCTCAAATGAATATTTACTAAATATTATTGTAGTACAATAAATATACTTAGCTAATATTTGAATTCAAATTTGAGTATTTATTGAATGTTTTTTGTAGCTTAGATATAAACAAAAAAATTTTTTTAATAAATTAGATTAGGCATAACATATTTATATTTTTATTAATCAATTAAATAGTTTATATATTCATTGAATATTTATTGAATTATTTGGTGAATAATTTTATATTCGAATATTCATTTGGTAAAACAATTTTATATTCGAGTATTTGAATATTCACTGAATATTCGAATATACTATTCATCGAGTCAGACCTCTAGTTAAATCATGCTATCTTTTTTCACACTCACATACATATTTATTAGTTGACAAAATTACTATTGACATTATATAATCAATAAGTATAAAATGCTCAAAAACTGTCTAGGCATTGCATTAGTAATATCTCCAATATGTATAACAGATGCATCAGAATAAAAATGAGATACTTGACGAGAGTCAATAGTAAGGGAGGTGTCAAATATCAGGTGATTTTTTAGAGGAGTCAAAAATTTTGGAAATTACATATAAAGACCTGACAATTTTCATATATAAAGGTAGGGAGTAGGCTACTTATAAAAAAAAATCAGGTGATAAATGACATGGCCCTAACCATTTTATTTGTCTATAATGCGCTATTTACATTACTAATATCTATTATCTTTTTACCCTCACCTTGACTACACTCACTATTACTACTACCTGAATAATCCGTTTTATTACTGCTTTCTTTCACTGAGTTATTAATTATACATTAATTAGCATCTTCTTCATTACTTGTAAAAAAACTCTCAAACTTTATATAACTCGCTGTGACTTGAAATTGCGCTTTTGGTTGTAAATCAAGAGAAATTATTTACTAATTTTTGCCTGGTGCTGCTTGTATAGCTGTTGCTAAGAGTTTTTTGGTATTCTATAATTCATCTAGAAGTGAACAAGTAATATTTTTGTCTACAACAGAGCCCAAAACAGAAAGCTTGGCACCTAATTTAATATGAGATAAAATCTGTCACATTGCAAGGTTGAAAAAAAAGCTTAATTAATGATCCTCCAGTTAACTGAAGTATAATCTTAGTAAAATATGACTCAGATTACTATATAAATTTACTATAGTGCGAATGTGGCATTTGCCCAAGGTAAACTTTTTTTCATACTAAGTTAATCATCTTTCTTGCTTAATAGACTTTTGTAAAGCTTGTCAAGACACATCTAATGGTAGTTAGAGTGTCAAAATCAGCCTGGTGAGTACTAAGATATCTTTAAAAAACCTCTCTTTTACTATGTAAACTTCTTTGCAAACAATAGTCAAATAATAGTATTGTTTGCAAAGAAATTTACATAGTAAAAAAGAGTTTTTTAAAGATATCTCAGTACTCACCAGGCTGATATTGCATCTAACTACCATTAGATGTGTCTTGACAAGCTTTACAAAAGTCTTTTAAGCAAAAAAGATGATTAACTTAATATAAAAAAAAGTTTATCTTGGGTGAATGCCACATTCGCACTATAGTAAATTTATATAGTAATCTGAGTACATTTTACTAAGATCATGCTTCAGTTGACTAAAGAATCATCAATTAATATATATATATATATTAAATAAAAACAAAAAATTCTATACTTCTATGTATATATAATACCTACCACTACCTATACTTGGTTATTCTTTTATAGCTAAGTGCATCAGGTGCCCAAGAACATCTAACTTATAACCACGAAGAAGTTGACAACCAAAAATTTTCAAGAATATTATTAATATCAACCAGTTTTACCTTACTTTGAACAATCATTTTATAGTTGCAATCATTTGTTGATTACTTCATATATACAAATTAGGTATTTAACATCCACTTACTTATCATTATAACTTTCTTAAATTGATTTATTTATCTAATATGATTAATCGTCAAATTTTATTGTATGACAAAATACTCTTGCAATTGACACATGATTTTGTCTCATATAAAATTCTGATGAGCCTATAAAATTCAGTATCAAAGCCTCTAGATATAAGTAAGTAGTATATTAAGTTTAAGCTTAGTTATCTTATTTTTATCAGTAAAAATTTTACTATATTTCTGTACTAAATCTAGTATAGGTAAATCTAGCCCATTAATTAAAATCAAAATTGCATTTTATTTTGGAACTGTAATCAATATTTTATATTATTAAATATATAGATAAAAAAAAAAAAAAACCTCTAAGCAATGATTGGTTTCAAACATGTCTTTGAAAATAAATTTAGTTTAGATCTTTAAATGGGTTATAGCAATTCAAATATATTATATCCACCAATTAACGTATACAGAAAATGTCTTCTTGTCAATGTATCAGTATATAATTTTTTTAACTATATGATTGTCAACCTGTATAAGAAAATTTTACTTATAACTTTACACAGTTTGCACCAGTTAACCTTTTCATTTATAATATTCTGCAATAATAGCTATGATAGTCAACTAAGAAAAATATAGCTATAATACATTCTAATAGTAGTTTTAATATAAAGTTTGCTAAAGCAAAAACCTTGAAATGTTCTTCTTTGAATCCCAAGCACAAGCTAACTTCTAAACCAATAAACCAATTAGAAGGTTTAGATTTTGGAACAATCATCATAAATAAATTGTTATAGAAATGTTCTCTTTTCAAAATATGTAATTTTTTTAACTATATGATCAATGATCTGTATAAAGAAATTTTATATCTAATTTTTCACAATTGCACCAGTTTACTTTTTCATTTATTGTATTCTTGTAATGATTACTAAGATGATCAACTAAGAAAAAATATAGCTATATATATGTTCTATTAGTGGTTTTAATATAAGGTCTGCAATAGCAAAAACCTTAAAATAATCTTTCAAAATTCAAATACAAGTCCGTTAAAACTGATGAATTAAGAGTTTTAAACTTTGGCATTAAAATAAATACTATTACAATGCCACTTTTTTTTTTAATTAAATTTTATCATTTTTTTTAAATCTGCAAACATATTTATACAATCTAATAATCCTAGCCCTGTAAAACCAACTACCTATAAGTACAATCAGTGTTTCGACCTAAACCTCTCCCCAAAGTCCGAAATGTTCGCCCAGAGGAATTTTAGTTTTGCCCTATAAGTCCAAAACCCTCTAAAACTAGTTTCACCCAATTTGATCTGTAAATGATCTGCAAAATCAGGTTTAGACCGAAACACTGAGTACCATTAAGTTTGGTAACCCCGATGCAATTAGATATTTAGCTAACAATATAACTATAAATTTTATACTTTTTATTTTCAAAAAAAAACTTTTAATATAAAATATATGACAATAATTGTATTACATATCAACACTTTACCTTTTTTATTTTCCAAGTTGCAATAAATAATTTGTTTTTGCTAAGTTTAAATAATATATATATATCCAAAAATTAAAACAAGCATCATTGTTAGTTTAATGGGGTTGACTTGTATTATCAAATGTTTGCACTATATGAATTAATATTAACTATATATATCTCTATTTTAAAAAGAGGTTATCGAAGTATAATTTGTTCAAGCAATAACAATTATAACTCTTTTGCAACTATGGATCTCTGTGAAACTAGTGATATCAAATGGAATGATCCTGATAACATATATATTGGTCTGAATAGTGATTTTAGTTTGGCAACTGATAGTATTAGCGAGACATCTACAATGCCTGTGGTTAATGATAATAATCATAATTTTTTTTGATTATGATGCATTTCAAAAAACTCAGGAAAGTATACATAATATCGATGAAGAAATTACTATGAATGATATAGATGATATCGATATCGATTCTTCATTTATAAGCTCAGAAATTGTAGATAATGTTTGGAGTTACAACCAGAATTGGATAGCTTAAATATCTAGTATTTTTTTTTTACTAAATATTGAATATTTTTAAAAATCTAGTATATACGTTGTAAGTGGGAAACCGCTTAGATTAGAACGGAATAATTATACTGTACTAAAAATCCCAACCATAACCGAATCAACTTAAATTCTGTTCCCACTACGACTTATATATTCAATATTTTTTAGTAATATATTTTAAAAATAGTAAGAGTTAAAGAAAACTAGAGAACGAAATTTGAAGTTGATAATTTATCGGACTCAATTCTTGAAAAACCTAATTAACGACATATGATAATAATTTAAACTTAATTACGCAAATATGTCGCTTATTAGAGTTGATCAGGATTATTTCGATAAATTATAAGCTTTAAAGCCCCTATGTCTGGTTTCTTTTTGCAGCTCTCAAATAACACATTACCAGTTTATACTGTTGTATTTAAAAACAATTATCAATGGATAGTTATTTAAGAAGTGAATGTAAAGAATTTAATTCGGATTAGTGGGATGCTAATATTTTTGAACAAAGTTTCGAAAAAAAATTTCGGTTTAAAAGTGTATCATAACTTACTGATAATGGAGTCATACGATTTTTTTCGTAACCGTAACTTGTCGAATACCGCTAGACTGTTAGCTACTGTGGCACATCAACTTGGTACGTCCAGTACACATTATATGAGTGCATCATTCACATTATGAATGATGCACTCATATAATGTGTACTGGACGTACCAAGTTGATGTGCCAC